GGATTGGAAGGGACCTCAAAAGATCATCCAGTCCAATCCCCCTGCCAGAGCAGGAACCTCAATGAGATCACACAGGAAGGTGTCCAGGCGGGTCTTGAATGTCTCCAGAGAAGGAGACTCCACACCCTCCCTGGGCAGCCTGTCCCAGGGCTCTGGCACCCTCACTGGAAAGAAGTTTCTTCTCAAGTTGAAGCAGAACCTCCTGTGTTCCAGCTCACACCCACTGCCCCTTGTCCTACCATTGGGCATCACTGAGAAGAGCCTGGCTCCATCCTCCTGACATTCACCCTGAACATATTTATAAACATGAATGAGGTCACCCCTCAGTCTCCTCTTCTCCAAGCTAAAGAGCCCCAGCTCCCTCAGCCTTTCCTCATCAGGGAGATGCTCCACTCCATCATCTTGGTGGCTCTGTGCTGGACTCTCTCCAGCAGTTCCCTGTCCTTCCTGAACTGGGGGGCCCAGAACTGGACACAATACTCCAGATGTGGCCTGTAACCTGGTTTCTGCTCCAGGTCAGGGACACACTAACTAGCCCTTCAGCCAGTCACAATATATTTTCTCTTTGGAGACAGAAGGCTTAAATCTGAAAGCTGCCAGGTCCAAACCTTTCCCAGTGAGCACGTGATTCAGGGATCCCAGTTAAGGTGGAAAGGTGAAATTGCTAAATAGCTCCTACTAATATTCTCCTGGCTTTCTGTAGTTGTTTTCAGGTCACTAAACTTATCTTCACTCTGCCAATGTATATTTATTGGCGTAAGAGATAACGCTTGGATACTTGCTTAATGCATCTTGGAACCAAAGCTCTTGTTTATTTTGCCAAATTAACTGCTGGCTGTAGTGTTGGAGCTTTTAGCTTTGGTTTTTACAAACCAGTGTGTATGGAAAACAACGCTGAAAAATAATTGTATGGTTTGCTTTGGCTCTCTAAGGAAACTTGGTATTGATTGCATGTTTTTTGTTATTTGTTTGTTGTTGTTTTTTTTTTTTCCCTCCCTTAGGGTGCAAATATGGCCAAACAGATTGGAGCAGCTACATATATTGAATGCTCAGCCTTACAGTCAGAAAACAGCGTCAGAGACATTTTTCATGTTGCCACCTTGGCTTGTGTGAATAAAACAAATAAAAATGTGAAACGAAACAAATCGCAGAGGGCAACCAAGCGAATTTCACACATGCCTGGCAGGCCAGAACTTTCCACAGTGGCGACGGACTTGAGAAAGGACAAAGCAAAGAGTTGCACAGTGATGTGAAAGGACCTTGATTTCTTGGAGAAAGGAGGAAGAGAGCGGACGGGGAGGGGTTGGAAGCTCAATGAAGTACACAGCCACATGGTATTGAACACAAGGGCTTATGCCAGGGCTTTAATGGAGACTTCACCCCTTGTTGTGAGACTGTGCTTAGGAACTGAGCAGCGGGAAGAAATGGCTCAAAACAAAGTGGCATCAGGAAGAAAATACCAAAAAAACCCCTCTAAAAAAAAGGGAAAACGTTTGAATGTGCTGAGAAAAAAGAGGATGAGTGGGAAAATTAACACTGCAAAGAAGAGATGTCATTGACAGTGCTTGTTTCTTTTATTAACGCTCTACTCCTGGATGCTACCACTTTGATTTCATTAAAAAATAATATTTTAATTATTATTTTTTTTTAAAGAAGACGTTCATAATATGCCCTCCTCATTAAGGAACTGTCCCTGGGACCTTAGAGTTGGTTTTTCCAAAGGATATGATCTTAATTTTTCTTTTTAGTAGCTCGTTAAAATGGAGAGTATACCAAGGCCTGGGCATCACCTCAAGGAAAACACTGTATGTGAGAAGTCTGGAGTTTTGCCTTCCCGAGATGACAGCGTGATCTGTGTTGGTAATGAAACCAACTGTTTGAGATATTTCCCAGTTTTATAGGTGCTCTCTCACTTTGGAAATTTTATGGATCAAATTGGAGTGTGGGAGCAAACTACCTGTCGGTTGTAGGACTCTTGACTTTCCGTTCCTCTTTGTGATTGTAATTTAGAGTGGCAACCATCTCCAGTTGTGCTGTACTGTATGGGGATGTCGTTGTAGGTTGGTTCAAGTGAAAGGTGCTAAGAGCTTTGATGACAAATGATCCTTAATTTTACAACCATGAGAATTTCTGTAAGCCTTACTGCCCATCTGGGGGAAGCCCTGAGACTCCTCTGCTTGTGCTAGGAGTTGGAAAACTGGGTGGATCCCAGAATCTATCCCTCTGTAGGTGCTACAGAGAAATGCTATTAAAAAATAATATTATTAAAAAAATATCCAAGAATCTGCAAATGAGCCAGCAGAACCAGGTTATCTTTTTTGTGATGTTCTTATTTTTGGGGGCAGCCTCCTCTCGCTGCAGACTGCCTTTGCTTGTGGTGAGGAAATGGGGGGGCTGAAGAACTGTGACACCTTAAAGGGGTCCCCAGTGGAAACTGGATACTGCCCTTAGTCATTAAGATGAATATATCCGTATCCAGACAACAATCATGAACCATCAGTGAACCAGTTATAAGTCAAATTCCTTTTTCCTTACCGAATATTATTGTTGCATTAAATAAATCAGCCTTTAAAATGGTTTGCAATTTGCTTACTGACTGACTCAACTTCATAGCTTCTCTCAGATGAAGGATGATGGAAGTTCTAACCAGTGTGGCTGTTGCTTGTTGAGGACAAGCATTTTGTTCCCAAGGGTAATGCTTCATTTTGGAAGTGTTAAAAAACTGTGTTCATGTTAAATTGTACAAAGGGAAAAGAGTTACCATCATTAAAACTCAGTTCTGTGTGTTCCTGGCACTTTTGTTTCATCTGATAAAAGAAAACAAAACAAAAAAAACCCCAAACAAACCACCCATTCTGATTATTTCCTGCAAAAAAAGACATTTTTACCACCATGATAAGCTTTTGACTGATGCAACAGTGCTCTTAGGGCAGTATTACAAAATAGCTGGTAAGTGCTTTCTGTATTTAAATATTGTGGAAAAAAAAATAAGTTATAACTGTTATAAAACAGAACATTCATTACTTTTTTTTTTTAATTGTTGAAGTCACTTTGTATGTTTGGTTCATGTTTCTGCAGTATTTATTAAAATATCTTTTTTTTTTTTTTTTTCTCTTTGAATTAAAAAAAAAAAGAAACGTAATTGAGTTGTAGTGGAAATGGCCTTTGTGTCTTAGTTGGTTAATAACTTGTGTGTGTGTTTTGGACAAAGCTGAGCTCCAGACCTGGCACAGCTGGGAATTGGGGTGTGAATATTTAGTGGGTATCAGTCTTGTCCTTGCAACAGCTTTTTGGGTTCTTTGGTGTTATATTTAAGTAAGTGGTGTTATATTTAAGTGGTGTTATATTTAAGTGGTGTTATATTTAAGTAACTTTAAGTTATATTTGGTGTTATATTTAAGTTATATTTAAGTAAGTTATATTTAAGTAGGGCCACCAAATTGGTGAAGGGTTTAGAGGGGAAGGGTATGAGGAGAGGCTGAAGTCACTTGGTGTGTTCAGCCTGGAGAAGAGGAGACTGAGAGGAGATCTCATGGGGGTCCAGAACTTCCTCCCAAGGAGCAGAGGAGGGGCAGGTGCTGATCTCTTCTCTCTGGCGACCAACGAATGCCAGGAGCAGAGGACATGGCAGGAAGATGTGGCAGGGGAGGGTGAGGTTGGCCATGAGGAAAAGGTTGTTGAGGCAGAGGGTGGGGGAGCACTGGAACAGGCTCCCCAGGGAGGTGCTCATGGCACCAAGGCTGACAAGATTCCAGCAGCATTTGGCCAAGGCCCTCAGGGACATGGTGTGAATGTTGGGCTTGTCCTGTGCAGGGACAGGAGTTGGACTCCATCATCCTTGTGGGTTCCTTCCAGCTCACAACATTCTTTGATTCATTTATGTACTGTGGGTCACTTCTCTGACAGCAGCAGAGGAGCCTGGAGCAAGCAAACGAGGGTTTGCTTTGCCTCTAAAACATGGCTGCTGCCAAGACTTTGCCAAGACAAGACTTTGCCTACAAAGGGATGTGCCTGTTTTCCGTCACCACTGGGAAATATTGGTTGCTGTGGATCCTCTTGGAAGAGCTCTGCCAGCACATCAGATCTGCTAGGTGTCTGGCTTCTGTTGGGACACAGGACGTGATGCTGAGTGCAGTCAGGGTGGTTGTCCTCACCGCCTTTGCAAGGTTTTTTCCTCTTGTGAAGTCACAGAATCCCAGAATGGCTTGGATTGGAAAAGCTCTTGGAGATCATCGAGTCCAACCATGAACCCAACACTGACAAGTCTCCTATGACTAACCCATGTCCCTCAGCACTATGTCTACACGACTCTTCAATCCCTCCAGGGATGGGGACTCCACCACTGCCCTGGGCAACCCCTTCCAATGCCTCAGAACCCTTTCAGCAAAGAAATTCTTCCTCACATCCCATCTCAACTGCCCTGGCCACAACTGGAGCCCATTTCCTCTTGTCCTGTCCCTTGGGCCTTGGTTGAACAGACCCACCCCCACCTCTCTCCACCCTCTTCCAAGGGACTTGGACAGAGCCACAAGGTCTCCCCTCAGCCTCCTTTTCTGCAGGAAGAGAAACAAAGTGGATGGAGGATGAAACAAAGTCAAGACGAGAGCTTCTAAGTGTTACTTTTGGGTCTACTGAAGTGTGTGTGTTTGCTCTACATCTCTAAAGTTGGGCAGAAGTCCCAGAGTTATTTATCTTGCTAATGTTTGTGACCATCCTGTGCTGACCTGCTCACCCTTTTCTGTTTTGGTGACAGACCAGGTTGGTTCCCTGTGTCTGCAGATGCAGTCAGTCCGTGAAGGCCTCGTTCTGCGTTTGGCCAGGGTTTAATTATCCTTGAGCTCAAAAAGCCACCTTGTCTTTGCTGTCTGATCATGTCTTGTTTCAGCCTTTGGTCTTTCCGTCTAGTTAATATGTGTGTCAGATTGACATGCTCTTGATGACCAAATTTAAGTCCACCTTGTAGGTCACTAGTCTAGAATTAAGTCACCAAGAACCAAATAGATGAACTCCTTCTTCAACAACTTTGAATTTCTTGCTAGAAAGGGTGTTTCCCAGTTTGTATTTAACCAACCTTGTGGTTCTTCTCTGTGCTTTTTTAGGTTTTGGGATCTTTATTAGAATTACACATGCTGGAGGAGCAGTTGGGCCACACAACCTTTCTATTAGTAGTTCTCTCATGTTCATCCCAGGCTTCACCATAACCTTTCTGGCCCCACATTGCTGGTTCCCCACACCAAGTGCTTGATGGTCTTGTGGCATCTGGCTACAGCACAGCTGGTTTTTACCCATGCTTGGTAGAGCAATATGACCATGGACGTTCTGCATGATCTACAAACCTTCTGGCTTTTGTAGCTATTCTGCTATTTCTTTTCAACCCTCTGATCTGCTGTTTTCTGGGTCATGGGAAGATTGTGAAGTAGGTTAGGACAAAAGTAGGTTAGGACAAATAACCTCTTGGAAATTAAATTGGAAATGTGCTGCCTTGGTGAGGTGATTCCAAGTTTTATTTTTGAGCTCCATCAAGGTTTGTAATGAATCTTTGACCCATTTAATGTGCGCAGGCTTGATTTCATGTCACTCCTGTGTCATACTTCAGTGTGGTCACAAGTTGAATGGTGTGGATTAGGAATCTACTGTTAAAGGTTCTCTTAAACCATCCTTAGACTCCTACAGAAAGGAGACAAAGACCTTTTTTCACTTAAACAATGCTCAGTCCTCCTTTATTTTGCTCTAAGTGGGTGGAAGATGGAGGTGTCTTCATTTATATTTGCCTTTTGATGTAAAAGTTGGTAGTCCTGTCCAAAGCCACTGACCTTCTTATCTTCTCTTGTTTTTCTGTTCCTGCTGCTAGTTTTGCCATTTCCTTTAGACCAGAATTTCCAGTTCTGTTGTCTACATGACACATCTCTTGCTAACTGTGGCCAATGGAGGTTGAAACCTCCGAGCAAGAGGAAGGACTGGAGGTTTTACTCTTCTAAAGCGAGAGCTGGGGCTGAGGTGACACCCACAGCTGCAGAAGCCCCATTTGATTTTGGTGTTGGTAAGATGATCCCCACCATCAGTTCTCCATCCACTTGCTTGCTGAAGTGAATCGGAAGTATTTTCAGTTGTAGGCTGTGACTTCGTCAGATGTTTCTTCTCTTCAACACCATTTGATCCCTGGAAAACAAATTTGGCAGATGGCCACAGCTCGGTCCGCTTCCAAAAAGCTCTGAACTTTGTCAGTTGGGTTTGGTTTTTTTATTGTTGTTGG